ATTTCCTAAATCCACCCCTGCCTGAACCTTTTGTTTCTGAGCAAAAGGCACATAATCCTGGTGTGAAATATGCACAGCTATCAGAGAGAAAGGTTTTCATCAAACAGAGAGGATGGTTGGAGCAACCGCGCCCCAAAAAGTAGAAATAGATAAAAATAACATCCATGAGGACCAAAAGCAGCACATTGCCTCCATCTTCATCTAGTTCCCATAATGCATCCTGTTGTCATGCCACCATCTTTGACTGCGCTGTGTTAGAGGATTTAAAGTGTCCTACACCTTTTAACCGTGTCTCTGCTTCCACACCTGAATCCAACCACTGAACGACCTCCTCAGTTGCAGATAAGTTCCCCAGAGTCCTGCTAATCTCCGCATTATTGGACTCAGGTGTGTTGAAGCGTAACTAGACCCAGAGGACTGGAACCCGGCACTAAAAGGTGCCTTCAGACAGCAATACTCAGCGATTCCTGTTGCTTTTCCATGGTCATAACGTTATGCATGAAAGGTGTTTGTGTGTGCACCTTTACTCTCTTAAGTTTCCCTTTGTGATTAATAAAGTATTTCTGAATTAAACCAAAATGGCCGGAACCCAAACCAGACCTCAAAGTAGAGTTCCTGAGCTTTCCACGCCGCAGTCATAAATACAGCCGAGGTTTCTACATAAAGTAACTCCCCAATGTGTTAACCACTGTAGAAATCAAATCAGCAATCACACACCACAGCAATCAAGTCCAAGGAAAACACTTATTCCACTAAGCAGCCATCACTTTCACATGTACAGACAGCTGAGGAAAACCTGCAGCAACCCACTGAAACACCAGAAAATCCCTCTATTTCGCTTCTTTATGCCACTGCTCTGGAGCAGCTGGATTAGCGTACCAGGACGGGGCTAGCCGCTACCTGCTGGGTCTCCCTTTGTCCCCTTCCACTCACTCTATCGGGGCTAAACCCTCGCCGCTTCACCCGCTAACGCTAAGCTAAGGCCTCATTGATTGCAGCCTGCAGGTGGTGAGTGAAGCCTCTTCTCTCCTTCGCCGTTTTACAAACAAAAAGAGTGGAGATTAGGCAGGAGGTGCTTTCAGTTATCTCTGTATCTTTGGAAGAATCTCTCAAAAGCTCTGGAGACAAAAGAACGGCGGGATTTTTGGGGGCGTTGCTTTAAGTGGATTCGACCTCCTCAGGTGAGAGAACGTGAAGTT